AAATAAAATAAATACGAGGAAATAGATGCAATATATAGGATGGAAATTTCGGTAGCCCAAGGTTTAAGCAGGCCGCCACGACAACTGGACTACGTTTCACAGTTTACATCGGATATTCACCATGTATCCGGAGTGAACAACACTGTAGCAGATGCTTTGTTGCGCATTTGTTCGCTCACCTAAATAGGAGGCATAGAACTTGTAAAACTGGCTCGACTTCAAAAAAGAGATACCGACTTTCAACATGACTTGTTTATAACAACTCTACAATTAGCCGAGAAACCCTTAGGTATGGGAAGAGACACTATTCTATGTGACGTTTCTACGAGTACTCCTCGCCCTCTCCTGCCTAAGAGCTATCGCCGTAACGTCTTCAATACGTTGCATGGCTTATCCCACCTAGGAATTCGAACTACCATCAAGCTCATTACTAGTCGGTTTCGTTGTCCTGGTATTAATAAGGAATTGAAGGGAATTGGCTCATACATGCCTAGCTTGCATTTCTTGTAAACTTACCCATTTAAACGGAATAATAATAATAATTATTGTTATTATTATAAATGTGCAAGTTTGTAAGACACACCAGAAGCTAACTTGGCACCTAAGGATACGAAATGCCTTGAAAACTAGTTGTAATGCCGCTGAGCTAATATATAGCACCACACTACGACTGCCAGGTGAGTTTGTTTCTCCCTCAAGCTTCCCACCAGCGGTAGATCACGCATCATGCGTCAGCAGGCTTACAAACTCAATGCGTTCAGCTAAACCTGCTCCTCTTCGACCAAAGTCCATAGACATCGTTGTTCACCAGTCTTTGAAAACTTCTTCACACGTATTTGTTCATCGTGACTCTGTGCGTTGCCCTCTGGAATCACCATACGACGGACCACAAATAATAATAATAATCACTTTATTCCACAACAATTCAATAAATGAATGGATACATTTTTTGTCTTAGACAAAAAGGGCGCGAAGACACCGTCAGCATCGACCCTCTGAAATTGGTCTACTTAGAAGGGAATCCTATCAACCTAGAGTTGAGCGTTTCAATAATCCACAAGTATCCGAATATCCTTCAGTCCTCGAAGAACTCACTAGCATGGCGAAAGCCACTGTAGCTTCTGTGGAGCCCCCGAAGAAAACGCGTTCTGAACAAAACGTTAGATTCCCAGAATATCTTCCCAATTATATCACATAACCAAGTGGTGCGATTCACCCAGATCTTATTCGTTTGTGGCATTTATTATATATTTTTTTCTTTCAGACAAATCAATCTTTTTTATTGCATCCCGCATCACCAGTTAAATACCTTTCTATAACTTCACAGGTGACATCCGCTAAAATAATTAGATATATACTTTTTTGATGTTCTAAATTTTGCATTATTTTACTGTATGGTAGACGCACATCATTTTTCAACTTTTATTTTTGATACATCTTCCTCGACAAGGTTCTCAGCATTCTTGTTTTCTTTTCGTGGTGCGACGGCCACTGGACAAGAAGCAAACGAAGCACGAGATCCGACATGAACGAAGCGATGTACAGACACCGCATTAGCTTAGGTAGGCCACCATTGGGCACTACATCAAGCCAACCGAGGAGTTGTTTTACTTCCGGCTGGTTTATGTGTCAGGGTCCTAACAACACCTCACCTCAAGACTTGATGTTGCAACCAAATCTGTGGGCATGGAAATCAGCACAGAAAAAAGCAAAATACTCATTAACGGAGGAAACAACTCAGATAGATGTATCAGACTTGATGGACATGTATTAGAAGAGGTTGAAACTTTCAAATACCTTGGGTCTACCCTAACGAAAGATGGAAGGTCCACTAAGGAAATAAAAATTCGACTAAACCTAGCCTCTGCCACCATGTCCAAGTTAGGGAAAATATGGAAGAGCAACATCAGCGTCTCAGCAAAAATGAAACTCTACTCGTCACTGGTCCTCTCTGTATTCCTATATGGATGTGAGAGCTGGACCCTGAATGCAGAGACAGAAAGAAGAATACAAGCCTTCGAAAACAAAAGCTATAGAAGGATCCTAGGAATAAGTTACCTTGAAAGGAAAACTAATGAATATGTCTTACACCAGGTCCATAGACTGGCAGGAAAACAGGAACCACTCCTTTCAATCGTAAAGAAACGGAAACTACAATGGTTCGGCCACACGGTAAGACATGACACATTGTCCAAAACGATTCTACAAGGCACAGTAGGAGGAGCACGAAAGAGAGGTCGACCGAATAAGAGCTGGCTTGACAACATAAAAGAGTGGACTGAAATGCCCTTGGATACGCTACAGAAAATAGCATTAAACCGAGAAGAATGGCGAAGACTGATAGCGCGAACTGTCATAGCACCCCCACGACGAAAGTCAAGGGACTGATGATGATGTCCTAACAACCCCATCAGAGGGTAGAGTGAGCTGTAGCGGTATGTAATTCTCCAGAATTATTGGCCATAGCATTCATCACTGAACATTAGATGCTGACCGACACTGTTTAAGTCAAATTGTTTAGCTGAAGGCTTCCGGTCAAGCATCCATGCATTGTCTAATAGGGGACTGAAACATTCTAGAGTGGGTGCAAAGGAAGGCATCATGTATGGTTCACGGCATGACTAACTTATCATACGACGAAAGACTAGACAGTTTAAATCTCTTCTCACTGCCATACCATAGGCAGAGAGGAGATTTAATCACAATGTTTAAAATTTTAGATAATGACTACGGACCTGACCTATTCTCTCTTTTCTTTCCCACTAGGTCTGAAAACCGTAAAGGACATAGCAGGATAGTTCAAAAGCCAAGAAGAAATCATATTGCTGTTTGGACAACAACAGGAATTTACTAGAAAAGGATTAACATAGGCTCCAAGCCTTCTATCCTCAACCAATAAATCTGGAATCTGAATTTGAAATCTGAGGGTTAAGTGAAACTTAGCTCAAGGTTATTTTTTGAGATCACCTTGGCGACACTTTGAAAGTTACTCATTGTCACTTATTTTTCAGTGGTTGATGTAAGTAAGAGACAGACGATACAGGCTGCGTTCGCATTATATTCACAGTTTTATGACAGCTATTTTGCAGTTATAAAGTGTGATATAACTTTAGTTGGTTGTTCAACTGGGTTATGAGTACCTCTTAAAAGAGAGTTTTTTTTATAGTTTTTTCTCTTTAAATTTTCTTTTTATCGATAACTAGAAAATTTACGTGGTATTAGCGTCGTGTGGTGGCAAGCTGAGGCTGTTCGCTAACAAAATTTTACTATTATAGTCAGTATGATTGGATCTGTAGTCGTAGAGTTTTAGTTAGTCACGACTGATAAAGCGTTAATATTGTTGTTTGGATAGTGTTGTTGAATGTGTTCAGATTCAGACTTTCGTTGATAATAGAAGGCTTTAAGCCTGTGTTAGTACCTTCAGAATAAGGATCTATGCTTGTCTGATCTATTTATTGAACAAGTCGATTGAGGGTACTGACACCACTTCTTCCGGGATGTTTATTGTAATATTCTGCCTCAGTGGGATGACCAATGGTTTATAGCCCTATGTTATTTCCGTGGCTTTTGAATTATCGTGCTTTGTAATGTGAGATGTTTTGACAGTTTGGGAACAGAAAGAGGGTAGATGTTCTCCATAGTCATTTGGGATTTCGGACGTTGTTATCAGATCTCCACTTGTGGTGTGATAAGGAGAAGGGATTCAAACTGCCACGAACAATAAATTAGCCGTACCAGCAGTTTTACAAGTGGTGTCCCTGTGGACTATTTCTAGGTTATATTAGTCCTCTTTAAGACGCAGGCTGACTGCATGGATGGAGTTTTCTAGTTTTAACGTCATCAGACGTGTATATAAAGCGATGAACATTTTTTATTGATTCTAGTAAGGGCTCTGCGTATTTCTTATAGGAATCTAAGGTATTGAGCTCTGGCAGTATGCCATAGTGCTTAGGTTATTACTTACTATGTCACCTAGATTCATGTTCGTTTGAATTGATTGGAGTTGTATTGCCTGTATGTCATATGGGCTGTCACCCGATGAGCGTGGTTGTGTACTTTGATCCTCTGATCAGATTCATCCATTCTTTAGACCAATCTAACATTTTTAAGATGTCGCAACTTAAGTATGTAGCTATCATCTCTAAGCTCCGCATTTTTAGGTCATATGTATAAGTTCACGATGCAATCGAATCTGATAGAATTCGCATGTTGGAACTTAGTCATTATATTATTCGGCTTTCGTTTAAAAAAGTAAATTGGTACTAGGCTTTCTTGGGTATTCTTCTTATTCTAGGAACCCTTGAAATTTAGACAATAGTCAGAAGGAATTTAGATTTGTATTTATTGAAAGTTACCAGTAATAGTGTAAGTATCCTGTCTTCAAATAGTGGGTTCGTCACCATCGAGACCTGATCACTAGTGTAGTCTTTTTTATCAGTTTAAAGTTAAAAGATAACTGTTATGATTTATTATTAATATTTTATTCTATCTCTTATTCATATAATTCACTGATTCAACACCGCTCTTGCCAGTACCATTGTGTTTTTCGGTATTATTATATTGTTATTATCCATTTTGCAATTCCTGACTTCTTCAAGTTCCTTCTCTGATAACTAATTGTTTATTTTAGTGATGCACCCGAACCCTAATGCATTATAGTCCCCTTATCTATTTGAACTTGATACACTACAGTTCAATTTACTTATCAGTCATATATATATATATATATATATATATATATATATATCAGCGTATGTAGAATAACCAGCTGAAGTCCTATGGAAATTTAATAAATTCATTGAGTACTTCCTTAATAACATTTCTTACATGTTTTCTCAGTTTATTATCATTTTCATAATTTGGTCTCTTACACAATACAATCGTCTTCATTTATTTTCCAGTTAGCTGAGCGTGGAATTCTAAAAAAATGATAGATCTAAGTGGATATGTCTGTCTTGTCACGGGAGCTACTCGGGGTATTGGAAAGGGTGTGGCGGTAGCTTTGGGAAAGTGTGGGGCTACAGTGTATATTACTGGTCGAACGTTAAAGACTCCCAATGACGGTGTCGGGGGTAGTTTACAAGAAACTACGGACGATATCAATAAATACGGTGGTGTACGTGTAACTTCTTATACATGTTTAACTAATTGTTATTCAACAGCTTGCTAATAGGGTGTCACTTACAGGGTGATGTAGGAATTATGTAATGTTACTTGATGTCATATTATCTCAGTATATATGGTTGTTTTAATTATGAAAAGTATAACCATAAATAGCTTGGGACATAGTGAAAGTCTAGAAGCAAAATCATATAATTCTCTCCATTTCTGTATTAGCTATAATTATCGCTAAAGATTTCAGTGCAGTGATATTTTTTTCGTAGTCTTTTGAAATAAGACAGCGTGGCACTACAAATGAACATATTTGGTGCTTACACGGCATTATAAAATAGGTGTTTCTAACCAAAGGTGTTTCATCCGCAACTTTGGTTTAAGTTTGCCCAGGTAAGACATTCATATGCTATCTGAATGTGGTTATTCGTTTGAAGTTAATTCGTATTCGTATTGAATTGATGTCAAGGGATTCGATAACCAGTCCAGATGGATCTCTCAGTGTACAGACAACATGAACGTTATTGGGTGAGGAAAGAGAAATATTAGTGGGATGTATGCAAGTTCCAACAGGTTGCAGACTTTCATCAACAGCTGCCTTCGCTCCATACTGAAGATCCAGTGGCCAGAAAGAATAAGCAACAAAAAACTATGGGAACAAACCAACCAAGAGCTGACCGTTCTACAAATATGTAGGAGAAAGTGGAGATAGATCAGGCATACATTGAGGAGGCCGCCGAATGATATCTCACGTCAGGCCCTCTAGTGAAATCCCGTTGGTGATGGACGAGTTGGTCGTCCTAGGGTGACATGGAGAGTATCTTGTGGGGAAGAGATGAGAGAGTTTGGTCAGTCGTGGAGCCAGCCAGCTGAAGAGGAGGGTAGAAAACAGAACAAAGTGGAGATATGTTGTTGAAGCCCTATGTTCCACTCGGAACGCAAGGGAATAATAATAACAAATGCAAGTTCGGCAGCATTCATTAATTACTGCGACCTAGAAAGATGAAGTCCTGTTGATATTCTGTGACTATTCTTATATTATTTTATTATTCCCTTGGGTTTGGAGTGAACATAGGGCTTCACACATCCAGTTCACTGTTCTTTGCAGTCTGCAGCCTGTTGGAAATGCTTTTCATGGTTTGTCAGGTCTCTGAATCATATAAAAACAATGAATTTTTTGTTGAAGATCCGAGTCTTGTTCCTCGTGTTGAGTGCAGCAGATTTCCACACTGGTTTCAGAGTAATGAGGGTCTATCTGGTTTTTCCGATCCTGCTTTTGATATCTTCATCTGTGCTGCCTGTGGTCGAAACCATGATGTGTGAAAGAGGTGACTTCCTTTAAAATTCCTCCTACTGATGGTGATTAATGAGTGTTGTTGGCTAGGTATCTTTATCACCTCCGCCTTCTCTAAGTTCACTTAAAGTCGTGTCTTCGCTGCCTCTTCTGCAAACCTGATCATTTTCACTTGTAGATCTTCAAGTGTATGTGTGTGATATTAGGCATAAATCACTGGCGAAGCCGTTATCTTCCACTGTCTTCTTGCCCCCTATGGTTTGTTGCATGATCCGGTCCACCACAACCAAACATATCATCTATGATATTAAGCAGCTTTGCCTTACTCATGTCTTCACTTCAAATGCTCCCAGTTGTTGCTATGAGGTTTTGGTTTATCTACAATTCATTTTTGGAAGAAGATGACAGACCCACAATGTTTATTCATTTGTATTAGAGAAAAAGCAATGCGGTTACAGTTATCAACATATTTAAGTATTAGATCTGATAAACCACCTACTTGCACTTAGGATTGTGAGTCTCATTCAAAGTTTCTGATATTCCCACTATATATTTTTCGCAAAGAAACAGGAGAATTAGCTATTTCAGTTCGTAATATCGTATTTATTTAGCGTTTTATACTGTTTAACTTCTGCTTTGTAAAACGACAGCCGTTGTTTTTTGTAGAAAGCTATTCCTGTTGTTGTGGATCACTCAAATGAAACCCAAGTGACAGACTTATTTAATCGAATCAGTCGAGAACAAAATGGACGTTTGGATATCTTAGTGAATAATGTTTACAGTGCTGTCTCCTTCATAAGTCAAAATATTAAGAAACCATTTTATGACATCAGAAACGTATCTCCAGGAGAAGCTTGGGACATAGTAAATAACACTGGTTTGAAAAATCACTATATATGTTGTGTTTTGGCCACTCGAATGATGATTGAGCATCAAACAAAGTCAGACACAAATTCATCTCGACCTGGATTAATTGTAAATATCACGTCTGTTGGTGCGAAAACTTATCTCTTCAATGTGGCTTATGGGACAGGTGAGCCGTCTTTTATCTCACACTTACTATTATTTTCTGTTATGGAAAAACAGCATCATGTTCTTGTATTTGATGCCAACAGTGTGTCTGCCAAACGTTTCATAATTGTACTAATTAATTAACAGTAGTGTCAATCGTTCTCCTATGTTCTGGGCAAATTTATCTTGATCCTTATACTCGGTCATGTTAGACAAGTCGGAGTTCTCAATTTTGGTTCATATATCCCTTTGAACTAACCGGAATTCAGTTGCGTTAAGTTTACTATACTCTTTTCTATGACCTGTAAGAAGTTGTTCCAGTTACAAAAGTATATTGGCGGAACTTATGGAGTTCTATTCCAACGAAGCGGGAGCGGTGATGGTCTCGCGCAGTTAATAATAATAATAAAGCTTTATTTCAGACAGTATCTGAACATATATTACAGGAGTTTTCAGCGTATTTGGTTACAAAAATATTTCCTCTTCATACAGGATTTACATGTCAAGTAGTAATCTGAAGTATATCATGTGACGTAGCTTTGTTGCATATGAAGAAAGAACCAATTCTGTAAACTTTCTCTTCACTTCCTTCAAGAATTGCACTGTGTCTGGTGGAAAGCTAATTCATTATGTGCGCGAATTCATGTAGTGATCATTTGATATAATTGCACAATTAAAACAATAAGAAATGCAGAATAGTTTGAGCACACCCTGATGAATGCAAATTCTGATAGCCCAGTGATTTAAGCAGGTCACCGCGAGTTCAGATATTCATTTATTTCTGGCCAACTCTAACTTCAAACATAAGGAGAAGCATCTCTTAACCTGGCGACCACCATCTCCAAATCAACAATGAACTCAAATACACTACGTAGTGATAAGCTATCGATGGTGAAAGTCGGTGGGATGCTGCCTCTCCAACAGGATTCCATGTGTAGATTCCAATCACACCTTAGTCCGTGCATATATATTGCCTACGATTGAACGGACATAGGAAACAGGCAGCTATGAAGCCGTTACGCTCCCAACTTGATGATGAGAGGAAGAAACAGCTAAATTCATACCTCAAATTGATAAATTTCGATAAAGCAAAGAGACCAAATTCTCAGTATGTAGTGATATTATTTTGTATCACAGGTTCTCACCCACCGCAGACTACCTGCACTTGCAATGGTTATCAGAGAATGAAATCAACATACTTCACTGTTGAAATGATACTGTCCACATTCATCTGAGTGCCTGGGAAGTTTGTCGGAGTTTTGTGAAAAGTTGAATGAACATATACAAGAAATTTCTTAAATTAATTTCTTTAAAGTTTTGTCTTATTTATCAGTTTAACTTTTTAGAGGTGCACCAGCATCAACAACAACATTCGGATTTTCAATACAAACGTCAAGTCAGTTTTGTTATACGGATCAGAAACTTGGCGGGTCACAAAGAATATTTCCAACAGCCTGTCGCAGACCTTTATCAACAGCTGTCTTCTTTCTATACTCAAGATCAGATGACCGGAAAGAATCACCAACAAGAAACTATGGGAAGAAACAAAACAAGAACCAATCGCTCAACAAATATGCACGAGAAAGTGGAGATGGATTGGACACTCGCTGAAGAGGCCGCTTGGTGACATCGCGCGTCAGGCCAGTGCTCAAGTGGAATCCGAAAGGGAAGCGGCGAGTGGGTCGTCAGTGCGAGGGTGACATGGAGGAGATCGTGTGAAGAAGAGTTGAAACAGCATGGATTAACATGGATGCAAGTGAAAAGTACAGCAGAAGACAGAAGCAAGTGGAGACGTGCAGTTGAAGCCCTATGTTCCATTAGGGGAACAATAATATATAATAATAGGTATGAAATGACCAGTTAAACCAAAAACCTAGTGCCTAAACTTGTATAATTTTATTTGATGACTCATGGATTGTTCAACCCTCTGAGTTTTCAGTAATCTGCTAGAGTTTGTTTAATAAGTCATAACCGAATAAAGAATGATCGTTTAGTAGACTATGCATACCTTCCGGCTATCTATCAACACTGAAATTTCCATTACTGTTTTCAGGAAAAGCAGCACTTGATCGCATGACCAAGGATATGGCCAAAGAGTTGAAACGTGCGAATGTTAATATATCTATTGTTGGAGTTGCACCTGGATTAGTACGTACGGAACATATGTTGAATTTTGCGGACAAAGGATCTCTACAACTCGACTTAAATAACAGTAGGTTTTAGATTGATTTGATTTTAATTATTATTTCTACCAAATACTGGTCATGCATAACCCTTTCCTTTTAATTGTTGTACTATTCCGTAATTTCTCACAGTTAAACTCGTGAAATATCCTTCGATTTGTTCCAAACTCATTGACTCATCATGCTTATGTGACTTCGTTTATTGAGGCAGAAGTTCACTGCTCATTTATTTCACTCGCAAAGCTTTATCCATTGGCCAACAGTGTATCGTATCAAAATACTAGCAGTAAGTCAACAGTCATTTAAAAGTACCTAGACTTGCCACTTCAAATTGTATCTATCAATTCAACTGCGCTTGTGGAGCGAGTTATATTGGCCGTTGCTCTAGGAACTTGATTTTCCGTGCTCCAGAACATATCCCACTATGGCTAAGTAAAGGTGTAGTGAAAACCATCAACAGCTCGATATTAGACCATCTGGTGCAAACCGGTCACAAAGCCAGTGTAGACGAATCCTCCTCTATAATATACCGGGTGCCTAACAAATTACCAAAATTGTCGAAGCACCGCGTGCTCCAAACAGCAGAGGCTATTGCGATTCGCCTCAAACAACCAGTTCTCTGTGTTCAAAAGAAACAAGTCCAGCCCCTACTACTGATCTGGTCCTCAGCAGAAACTATAAAATCATGAATTTGTAATATTTTTCTGACATTCAGCTTATTTTATGTTGATGCTATTGAGCTGTAATCTATCAATATTATTGATTCGATGTTATTTAAACATTAATGTTGTTCATAACACTAATTCATTCATTCAGTGTAATGTGTATATAATTGTAGAGCCTGATGATGAATTTATCGAAAAGAGTACTCTTTGTTCAGTATCCACTCTTTAAAAGCAGTGTGTTTATGGAACATAGCAGATAACGTAGTTATGTGTTACCATGCCCCCCCACCCCCCCCCCCCCCGAAGTATGCCTAAATATGCATCCTTATCACACATAATTATGCAGTAATGATACGTTTGCATGCAGTTTAAGTGGGTGCTGTGTTTTGTACACAATACTCATCCGTGTATCAAGATCGTAATGCCTTCACCGTTTTTATTTAATGCCTTGTCTGAAGGCAAATTCAGACTTAAATAATCCATCCTCTTGATAAATAAATTTTAAGTGAGGCGTTTAGAAGATAAGTGTGAGAGTATATCATTTCTTAGTTTCTCTACAACTTAATTACAAATAGCATAGTTGCCTGTAATAAGATGTTCTCGAAAATATTAAATTATGTGTGGTAACACAATATACTGATAACTTGTTATTGTTTAATCATATGGATTACTAGGCGAAGAGGCAAGGTTTCGAGTCCAGTATTATTTTCTGTATATCTACGTGTTATTTCACGTGCATGTGATCAATCCAAAGTATCTTAGTTTATTTCAATAATTTCAATAATTTGAAGTGTTTTCAGTAAATAAGAAATAATGACTAGTGTTAACTTTGTAAACAGCCGTTTATGATGCTGACGTTATACGGAGATTGAGTGTATTAAAATTTTTCACGTGATTTAATAATAATAATAATAATCTGAAATATGTGCTTTCTGGTATTAGAACACTTTAGTAGGTTGTTCCAAGTGCGTTATGGATAAGACTTTATTTTGATAAATCACACAGTGTTTTACAGTAATATTAACTGACGCTGGCTTAGTTAAGTGTCTAACAAACCGAGCAATAGCACTAAGTAGTTAAAGAAAAGACCTAGATGATGAAATGAAACATTTAGAAGAAGCGTTGGTATCAAATAACCAACTATCCTATAAAATTCATTAAAAATATGAAAAAAGGTCAAAAGCAAAATAAAAACAGTTGTGAAACTAGTAGTGATAACATAAATAAGAGAGAGAGTATAAGGCATCTACAGTGGTTTCACCTTATAAGGAGAGAAGGAACATCTGAGACCCTCCCTACATAGGATTCTCAATAAAGCAGGAATTAGGGTGACATTCAAACCTACAAACTCACTCAGATAGGGTAAGCTCTGTTGGCTAAATGACCATGTCGGTGGACCCAATTACACAAAATGATATAATTCGCAAAACACCTTGCACTGACTGTGAGTTAAGTCAACTACACTGGTCAGTCAAATTAGTAGATCAGGAGTAGTCACATTATCAGAACATAAGAATTTAGTTAAGATTAGAATGATTCACTCCACGAAGATAAATAATTTAGAAAAAAAGCACTCAACAATTGCACGGCATGCATTAACACACAACCAGACATTAGAGTGGGTGGGACAAAGTCAAAATTCCAAGAAGTAACATAAATAGGTGGAGAGGGAGATTGATTACTGAATCCTGATTCATCGAGTCTACCATTGATATAAGAATAAAACTTGGGCACTGTGGTAGAGTGTAATTCCATTATGGGTAAATTTTTATTTTGATAGAGTCTCACAGTGTTATACAGTAATATTTACTGATGGCGTTTCGAGACTAGCAACCCCATCCCGTTGAAAATAAACACCACTGCTACCGGAGATTTAAGCCTCTAGCTTAAAGCCATATGTTCCAGCACTGGCAACGTAAAAGAATAAAAAGAAAACAAAGTAACCAAACATCAGTGTGGTTGATATTCGTTAACTTGTCTGTTTGTCTTTTGTTTTTTGAAGCAACATGCCTTATTTCAACACGGGTTTGAAGGTGATCAAATGAGGCACAAGCATGCATCTATTTACTATGCATATTCACTGTTGATTGTGGATATGAATCCTACTATTGTGATAAAACTATGTGAAACATTTTTCTTCATATCTCCACTAATAAAAAATCATTATCCTAATTAGTTTCAGTCACAAAAAATATCTTGGTTATTTTAACCTTTTTCTAGGTGAATCACCTGAATTAACTGGTCGTGTGATATCGCAGCTGGCTTCTGAACCGTCGAAAAGACTACTCTCTCGGTCAGGTCAAGTAATGAACGTTTGTGATTTAGCGGAAGAGTTTGGCATAAAGGAGGATGATGGTCGTGCAATCACCAATCTACGGTCCATTAAATTTCTCCTTTCACATTCTGGCTTTTCTATAGCGAAATTTATTCCCAGTTTTATTAAAGTTCCAGAATGGTTATTCGACATAATATTGAAGTACAAATAAGAAAAGTTATACTGCCTTTTTTCTCTCTTATCTTGAAACTTTTTTTGTTTTGTTTTTTATACTGTTACCAGACTCAGTGATTTTTTTTTTATTATAATCATTTCAGTAAAATTATCAACTCGACGAAAAACTTTTTTTGATTTGAATATCCTACTTTTTGATTTTTCTGGGAAAATAATTAATTCAGTTTAAAATTTTATTTTATGGCTTAATTATGTACATGTATCAGTTTTTCATTCTGAAGCCATTGAAAGAGTTCTGCTGATGGAAAAATGGGCAGGACTATGGAGTGTGTAGATGACGATTTCATGACTTGATTTCAAGAGCGTCAACCTTCGTTATACAGTTTCGGTCTGCCTAAAATCTATAGACGGAAAAGTGTAATACTCTTTCTCCATTTCTCAACAGTAAAGATATTTACTTGATTAATTATGGATAAGATTTGATAAATCACACAGTGTTGTACGGTAATAACACTGTGTGATTTATCAAAATAAAATCTTATCTACAATGGAGTTATGCTCTACCACAGTGCCCAAGTTTTATACTTATATCTATAATATTTACTTGATACCGAGATATATTACTATATGACCGTAGAAGCATACGGAATCACTTATAGGGCTATATATGGCGAACTTCTGCTGAGTAATTTGAACGGTACTGTAGAATACTGTTGGTAGGCTGTCTATGCCCCAAATTCGGTCTCACATCTGCATGATGTTAAACGTGAATCAAAAGCGTAAATCGGTCTTCAGACTATTATTGTTATTGTTTCCTTAAGTTCCTCGAGGAACAACGAAGGGCTTCAGCCTCACGTCTCCATTTCGTTTGATTCTCCGCCAACGTTTTCACCTGGCTCCACGCCTGCCCACATGCCTTCAGCTCCTCTTCACATAACCTCGCCCATCTCACACTTGCCGCTTCCCATTCGGGTTCCACTGGAGCGATGGCCTGGCCTGTGATGTCACTCACTTGATGGTTTTCTCAGAGTATGGCGAATCCACATCCATTTCCTCCTCCATATTTGTTGCACAATCGCTTGCTGCTGCTGGGTTGGTTAGTTCATTGCCACAGATCACACTCTGTTGCTGATCTTTTCTGGCCGACCATCTGATCTTGAGCAGTACTCAGCGGAGACAGGTGTTTGTTCGAAGTGACCTTCGTGACGCAGCTCCAAGTCTCTAATCCGTATGTTAAGTAGCACTGACTTCACATTGGAGTTGAGAATCCGGATCTTATTTTGCATGCTGAGTGCTGTTGATCTCCACACAGACTTGAGAGTAATGAAAGCTTGCCTTGTTTTCCGCATGTTCCTCGCTTTGACATCCTCATCAGCTCCACCCGCCTATGGTTGGAACAATACTTACCAGGTAGTTAAAGGAGGCTGCTTCTTTCAGGTTTCTCCCATTTATGCTGATTGTTGTTGGTGTTGCTGTTGGCCATGAATCTTCATCATCTCTGTTTCCTCTATGTTTACCTGAAGTCCTATCTTCTCTGGATGCTTGTTCTACCAACTTGTGTTTTTCCACTTCCATATCTTCCAGTTTGTTGGAAATCAGACATATATCATCGGCGAAGTCCAGATCCTCCAAGTCTTTTGTGTGAGTCCATTTTATGCCTGTTTCCTCGTTGTCCGCTGTCTGTCGCAATATCCAGTCTACCGCAATTAGGAAAATCATTGGAGATAGTAGGCAGTCAGCCAGCCTGTCTTACTCCCGTCTTCACTTCGAAAGACTCCGTGAGTTTCCCGTTGTGGATTACTTGGCATGCAGTATTGTCTTACAGCTGTTGGACGAGGTGCATAATTGTTTGCGGCACCCCGTAGTAGTGATTTAGTTTCCAGACCACCACCTCCTGACCGACTCTGTCGAAGGTCTCTTCAAAGTCGATGAAGTTGAGATAGAGAGCTGACTGCCATTCCAAGCTCTTTTCAGTGATGATCCGCAGTGTTGTAGTGTGTAAAATTCTACTGCACAGCCTCTATATCAGCTGACTGGAAACGTGGGCATTTGTAATGAAATGTTGTAGGCATCGATTAGTAGAAGTAATTAGCTTTGAATTTATTAATGGCAGCAAATTACTCGATTAGGTTGGCTTGTTTTGAGTTTACTGATTTGAAATCAGTGTATATTAGCAGCTGTTTTCTCGGCTTACCGTTTTTTATAGGTAGGCAGTCCAAATTATTTCATTAATTTAAGCACTTCGAAATGTCGACCTGAATTATTCACTAATAGAAACGAAAGAAGATATTGAAAGATTGTATATCACACAGAAGGTAATCCGTCACTACTACAGCTGACTGTTGCGGTCGGTTTTCACATCTTTCCATAAAATGACAATGATTGAAGTTTTTCAGATTTCCAAAAGCCACTTTAATGATGAATAAGTTAGGTGCCAGTGCCGTATAATGAACAAGTCATTCAGTCTTAGTTCTTGTGAAACTTTAAGAAAAAGCAAGGACAAGAATTTTTTTATTGTTTATGGGTTATTTTAGCGTTGAGTCATCGAAATATTGACAGATCTAAGTGAATGCGTCCGTCTTCTCGTGGGAGAAACTGATGATATTGTGAAAGGTGTGGCGGTGGCTTAGGGGAAGTGTGAAACGATAGTTTATATTACTGGTCGAACGTTAAGGACTCCCAATAACGGTGTTTGGAGTGGGGTTAATTTATGTGGAACTGCGAATGATATCAATAAATATGATGGTGTGTGTTAATGTCGCTTACATTTACCTCACTCTTACGTTGACTGATATGGAACTTGGTATAACAGTGCAACAGTTCAAGGTACGACAATGCACACAGGAAAAGAAAGAAAAATTCAACAAATTACAGTGAATTGAAGTGTTCAGGAGACAGAGTTAGCACACGCCGTATGATAAGAATTTAATGGAGGGAGGGAGAGTGAATACACCTGAAAAACGGAGCGATTCTGAGCCATGTCTCAAACATGCTAAAGCCATTGACTGTTAGCATAACGGGGACCCCACCCAGACAGTCCACATCTCTCCACAAAGTGTTCAAAGTAACAGTCAGAGAATTCATGGATTGATACCGTAATTCTAAATAACCATTCTTAATTCCTTCTTAGCTTAAAAGATGTCAGTAAACATTGATCGACTAGGAAAGTGATGGAGAGCTCGTCATACGTAAGAGGTGTCCTAACTATCTCAATCTATGTAGTTTCGAAGCCTTATACATTGCCCTACCAGACACTATGCCTAACCTAGATATCACTCACCATATTATACCACTTAAAATACGATGTAGAACTCAGACACTTATGGTCGAAGACATCTAACCAGCCTCTTTATATCTGCCACTTTCAATGGCCATGTCCCCCAGTCACAAAAACGGAGAGGTCGAAATGCTGCTATTTGCACACGTCTTTTTTTTTCGATAGCCGGAGGTGATGTACGTTGGCGAGAGCCATAGGAGCCGTTTCTTTGAGTGGTGAGATTTCTTCAGCAATCAGTCAGTCAGTGTGTGAGGGTTGACGCAACTTCCCAAATTAGTGAAGTGGTCAAAATACTCGACCGCCCCATTCTTTATGTTTACACTAGGCCTAAATTCAGACCAATCTTGCAGTATAATCTTACATCTGACAGGGTCCAGTCGCACGCGAAACATACTAATATTTCCGGTCAAGGTGTTCAGAAAACTGAATGTTTGCACCTAGGACTATATCATCTGCATACTCAAAGTCGAGACGGTAACAAGCCAATCCCTAGGTCTCTAAAGTTGATTCTCTGGTACATCTGTGTTAAATTAGACAAAAATAGAGACACTGGGCACTCCTAACGGTTAGCTTTGGTTGTCATCACGTTACAGTCTCCTGTACTAAGCTTAGGCGCCGTTTTCCCGTGAAACTGTAGTGCTTATCATTTATCTTTTACAACCAGTTTCCCTAATAAGACTATATAATTGTCTGGTGTCGCATATCACTGATGAGTTTTCCATTTCTTCGACTTTTGTAGCCAAATACTGTTTACTGTTGTTGACGATCGTTTTGGTCAGGTTGCGTCTTAGCAGCTTTCTCTTACTATGTTCGCAGTCTGCTGGAATTAGTCCTCTCGCATCTATCACTTAGGATGAGCTGGCAGAAATTCACTTATTTTCAATAACTATCGCTTCTAGATTATCGGCAAACTTTCTGTAGTTGACTGGGTATTATGCCAGGCTTCACCAAAATGATTCTTTCTATTTCTTCCCTAGATAGAGAGTGTGTTTTCATCATGCTAGGGGCACAACGGCTTCACAGGTGGCTGTGTTCGTTCTTTCGTAGGTATATATGTGCACAGACTAAATAGTTATTGCAATCTATACAGTTTACAATTTATTTAGGATAGTAGGCTATATGCCTGTGTTAATTCTTTCGATTTGTTACAAACAGGAGGTCCAATCTCGACTTGAATGAATCAACGGATGGCGCTGATACGACGTGTTCCGGTAGGGAGTTCCGATGGTTCACAATTCGATGCGAAAAACGGATCTCCAGACGCAGACGATTCGACTGTGGTTTTTGAACCTTGAGGTGATGTCCTCACAATTGGTTGGTGCTAGAAGGAAGAAATAAATTAGATAAATTAGCTCCAAAATCATTTCTCAGGATACGGTATGCTAGTATTAGGTCACCCCTAAGTCGTCTGTATGACAGTGGAAATAAACCCACTCAACTTAACCTCTCCTCATATGAGAGGGTTGAGAAACCCTTTATTAGCTTAGTTCCTACTCTTTGCACCCTTTCTAATAAGTCTATTTCGTATTTGAAACACGGGCTCGCTGCCTGGATCCCATATTCCAAATGAGGTCTGATATAAGTCGGATATAATATACGAAATATATCAGCGTCACAGTTCTCAAAAGCCTTGTGTATGGCCCATAATATTCGAAAACCCTTAGTGGCTGCAGCTCTACAGTTTGTTGCTGTTTTCAAGTCATGCTGCACAACCACTCCCAAGTCCTTGTACTCAGTGACCACTGGGAGAGCAATGCCATTCATTGAGTAATTGTGCACGTGACTATGAGATACATGCATAACTACACTCTTGCTTAAGTTAATCTCCAAGGCCCAGTGCTTACACCAATCACTTAACAAGTTTAAATATTCACGCAAAGCACGTTGATCACTGTCATCGTGTAAAGCCCTCCATATCTTGATTTCATCAGCAAACAGTAAGCAGGATGACTTA